GTGAAAGACCAACACAAAGTGGTATACAATTGTGAAGTGGAAGCAAAATTTTACATGAATCAAAACATTTTTTACAAATAAAAAACTGAAAAGAGGTGGAATCTAGGGAGCGACTATGTAAGAGCGTACTTGGGTGATTTCCTGTCATCCCTCCTTCATGCATTGGGGTTGAAGTTCAAACATGAAGGAGGGACAACAGGAAATCACCCGAGTACGCTCTCTAACATAGTCGATCCTGCCTCGGATGTTTATCATATACTGTATTGATCCCCTGGTGGGGAAATTAAGTCTCTGCATTTAACCCATTACACATGTGAACACACGTGCAGTGCCAGACTGACAATTACAGCGGCCGGGGAGCAGCTGGGGGGTTAAGGGCCTTGCTGAAGGCCCCAAGTGGGGTCTTTATAGAAAGATTATGAAGTGGGGCAACCTGGAGTCGAACCTGTATATCATTGACCTTCCGATCACAGACTCGGCTTCTCTACTCTCTGTGCCAAGTTTATGTTTTTGAGTTCAACTAAAAACTTAGACAGTCAACCAAAAGTTTGAGATTCGACCAAAAGTTTCTGGTTTGCAAAAAATGTTTTGATTGATTTTTTTTATTGAAATTGCAACAAAGTTACCTCCATAAATGTGAGGCTGGATGGGAGTGGGAGATGGGGCTGGTTCTGTTGTGGGTGGGGGTGAGGAGAGGGCAGGAAGCGGAAAGTGGGGGAGCAGCATTTGGTGGGGGCTAGCTGGGAGCTGGGTGGTGGGGGAGGTGGTCAACAGGCCAGAGTCAAATCGATTGAAAAACAAATTCAGGTCGTTAGCCCACCCCCGATCGTTAGGACCTGTTGCTCCTCCATTGTCTTTGAAGTGGCCAGAGATTTTATTCATGTTTCTCCAGTCCTCTTGGTTTGTTTTGTTGGAGCTGCTCCTCCATCTTCTTCCTGAAGCTTTCTTTGCCACTCCGGATCTTGTATTTGAGATCCTTCTGCACTCTCCTCAGTTCCTCTTTGTTGCCAGATCTGAAGACCCTCTTCTTCTCGATCAGCAGGGCCTTCAGCTCTGGGATCACCCATGGTTTATTGTTGAAGCACCGTACCTTCTTGGTTGGCACAGTGTTCTCCACACAGAAGGTCATGTAGTCTGTGATGCAGTGGGTCAGGGCGTTGATGCCCTCGCCGTGAGGCCTGTAGAGTTCCRGCCAGTGTGTACGTTCAAAACAGTCTCTCAGGGCCTCACTGCAGTCCTCAGACCACAGCCTTATCACCTTCTTGGTAGGGGGTTTCCTCTTCACAATGGGGGTGTAGGTGGAGTGGAGAAGGACCAGACTGTGATCTGAGTGACCAAGCAGGGGTGGGGTGATTAGCTGTAAGCCTCCTTGGTGTTGGCAAACATCAGATCCAGAGTTTTGTTGTCTCTAGTGTGGCAATCAACATACTGTTTGAAGTTAGGGAGAGAGGAAGAGGGGGAGCCTGTTGTTGTTGTTGCACTCTGTCTCACAACATTAGCAGCTGCTCTCTCCCCGAGGGAGGGTCCGGCAACATGCGCTTGCATGACCCAAAGAATGGATCGGTCAAAGGGACGGACATATCGGCCGATACCGATACAAGGAAAAAACGCAAATATCGGCCAAATATATCGGCCGGCCGATGTATCGGTCGACCCCTAGATGAGATTCTCGGTTTGTACCGTCTCCTCCTCTCTCTATACTTCACTCCAGCTCTGCGTCCCCTCCTCTGACAACATAGTTCCTCTGGGATCTCAGGTCGCTCATGAGGGGGTCCCCTCCAGTTGCACAGCTCTAAAGCTGGGTACACACCAAACGCGTTTTGAGCAGCCAAAGCAGCCAGTTTACATGCAAAGTCTATGGTGGACGAGCACCTACGAGCAGCGCAGCACGTAGCAGCGCGCAACATGTGGCAGAGCATGTTCCGCGCATGCGGCACGTCCAAAGCAGCGGCTGCTGGAGTTCAACAAATCGAACTTTGGCTGCTCGACGCGCAGCAGCAACCAATCAAATTTTTCCACGTGACAGTTTCCTGAACCCGACACAGACGGACAGGAGCTGTTTTAAGCTGAAATCGACCATCTGAAGTTGGTGTTCTGGCTGGAAATAGATGTGGGTCAGCAGCTCGTCCTCGGGACAAGAAAAAGTGTCTGTCAGCACGCAGCTCCTGGAGTGGCGAAACTAACTGAAAAAAAAAAAAATCACCTTTAAATCATCTGGTGAATTAATTATCTGCTGTGCGCAACGTTTGCTTGCTCTTTAGTAAATAAAACAAAGCTATTTTCTTTATTTTATCTTTATTTCAACCGTCAACAGACCGGAAAACAAACAATGAAGCTCCTCCCATTGCGCGTCTTCAGCCGCGTTCGGTCTGAATCGACGTCTGTTGACAAGCAGCCAAATACATGCGTCAGGAGCATTTTTGCTGCTCAAGACGCGTTTGGTGGGAACCCGGCTTAACAGTTGATCCCTGCTGTAGACAATGGAGTTGCTCACAGGATCTCCAAATGAGGTAGAGAAAAGTCCCAAAAAGAGTACGTGGAGTGCAACTATTCTAATAAGACTTTGCAGGTCCAAGGCGTGTTTGATAACCAGTAGAAATCCCAACACAGGAGCTAAAAAGAAAAACTTAAACACAAGAAGTCCTGATGCATCTCAGTAATCCAGTTAAAAAAAACACAAGAAACACAAACACAAGAAAAACACAGAAAAGTAGGAAAAAAGCTGGGAGCTGCAGTAACAGGCTGCCTACCGTGGCGCCATCTTGGAAAAAAGTGCTATTTTTTTAATTATATTTATAATTAATTACAATTAAACAAATCTTAATAGTTGTGTTGTTTTGTGATATAAAGGATTAATTTAAATGTAAGAAAAATTACCATAAATAAGAGTTTTTTTTTCATGTTTTTTTTTATTTTAGTTGAACTAATTTCATCACCAAATCAAAAACAAACAAATTATGTTTTTCCTTAAAAATCCATTGAATAACTGAGTAATTTTGGCTAAAATTAAAACTGAGTTGGAAAAAATGCTAGTTATAAACCAAAAGCTACCAAATGTTACCTCTAATAAAACACAAGCTAAAAGTTTAAAGCTGCAGAGGGTTTGAAAAAAATCAATGGACAAAAGCAGCAAAAGGTTGGTTAAAAGACAAAATGTAGCAAAGCTAAAAGAAAAATCACAAAATGTTAGCTAAAAGCAGCAAACGCCTAACTAAAAGCTAAAGTAGCATAAGAAGAAAAAAATAGATCCAGATTGCTGAGGCAGATTCAAACGTTTCTAAAAGATTGAGAATATCTCCATGTATTTCTACGAGTAAATACTTTAAAGTACATTTTAAAAAGTATTAAAGATAAACAAAACAAAGTGAACTTCTGGAACTCGTTCCCTGAATGTTTTGATATTTGAAGTAGTCGAATTTAAAAACAAGAAAACAAACCTGTGGACTCTGTTGCAGCATTCACTTAAATAAACATAAATAAGAAAAATTAGGGTCTCCAGAGTAGATCCCTGTGGCACACACCAATTTAAAAAAACATGTTTAAAGAATAAACATTAAATTTCTTACAAAAGTATATTTATACAAAATGAATAATTGTGAGTAAAAGACGTACATATTTCATATCTGGGTGGTTCCTCCTTCACGGGTAATAAACGTCCTCCGGCTTCACAGAGAGAAAACTGGCCCCTGTCGTCTGGACCAGACGGTTATGATGATAAAACAAAACAGGATCAGAACTCTGAAAGTCTCAACTGGAAATACAGCCGGTGATATGTAAGGTAGTGATTATCAGGTAAAACTCAGCGAGGTCCACCTGAAGAAAAGTTTCACCAGTAAAACTCCGAAAAATTAATTTAAATTCCTTAAATTAATAGTAAATGCTTGAAAACCCATCCCATCTTAAAGCTGCACAACCCAAAATGAACACGTGTTTGTAGAATGAGTTATTGTGAATATGCACTTTTTTATATTGATTTTATTCTTGTGAATCTTAATCTGGGTTCAGATTAAACTTTGTGTCCAGAATGGACCATTTCATAATTACAAACACAAGCAGAGCCAAACTCTTCTGGGTCACAGGTGAACTGAAAACACTGTTGGAATTGTACAAATTCAACAAGCTCAAAATGTAATTTATAGCTTGGATGTGAGAGCCTGAGGGGTTTTTATCTACGCGACTGACCACCCAAACATGGCGGCCATTACAGAAAAGTAGCCTGGTACCCGGATGTGTAGGCCCGCCCCTTACTAAACTCGGCGGTAAACATTTAAAGTGTCTTTAATAAACTGAATCTTTTACAACCGCCTCTTATTGTAAAATATATCGGTGAATGAATACATTAAAAATATGCCTCACAACTTTAAAACAAATCCTGTTGTTAAACTAAGAGTAAAAACTCATTTCTGGTAAATTCAGTCAAACCGCGGGCCGAATTCCAGCGGATTCTTGCTCATTTTTATGATTTGTTTCCCAAAGGAAACGGCATGAATTGACACTTCAGTAAACCAGTTTTCATTTTATATTAAAGAGATTATCAGTGTAATCCGCATAACAAAGCAGTCCAGGTTGTAGCTAACCTTTTGGCTCCTCTTTAATGACGCGAGGCTGCAGGAGCTGCAGCTGCCTCCTCTGCCGCTCGATCTCCTCCTCACATTCGGTTACGGTCATCTCCACCGAGGCCATGATCTCCATGGTGGCCGCGGACAGCCTCTCGGTGATGATTCTCCTCAGTCTGTCCATTTTGGACATGTTTTCTGGGGCGGTGGACAAGCTGGGCTCCATGCTAACAGTCAGAAGCGAGGTCCGCCGCGCGCAGCTGCGTTAGCATCGGCGGAACGTTCGCGCGGCGGAAGGAAGTGTTTCACCCGGAAGAAAAACGAAGCGAGCACACTGACGGGGAGGGAAACAAAACAAATCATCCCAAACCAGAGCGAATAAAAGATGTTTTTCAGCAGCAGACGAGGCTCGGAGCCTCTCGGTGTGTCCAAGAGCGACTTCCTGAGAGGAATCATCACCGAGAAGCTGAGCACAGCCGCCCGGGAGATCTTAGCGGTGGTGGAGAGGACCGTAGCCGACTACGAGGAGGAGGCTTCGGGCTTCAGGCAGGAGATCGACCGACAGAGGAGGCAGCTGGAGCTCCTGCAGCCTCAGGAGAACCCGAATAAAAGAGGTGAGCAGAACTCACTACTTCTAAATAACGTTTAGAAGATCATCTAACATGTATTAAATTTAAATTTATGTTGTTAAATTAAAGCAGGGCGGACTCTGTTAGTTAACTAGTTTAAACGTAATTAAACGATTCTTTAAATCTAGATTCTGATTTTAAAAATCTCGAGCTGCAACTTTAAAATCCAACATGGCGGCTGCCTGACTCACACAGAGCTAATCTGCAGTTTATTTCACTTCTTTTCGTTTATTTCTTTTTAAATCAGACACAATAAAACATCACCTCACTGAAAATGTTGCTACTTTTTGAAAATATAAAAACACTAAAATAAGAGATTAATAATAAACCAGAATGCCAGTTTTTGTCAAACCTTCAAATGAGCTTTAATTGTGATAGACGTGCTGTTTTAATGACATTTTTAAACGTTTGAATAGAAGTTGACTTTTTTTTGCGTTTGTTCTGGCAGCCATCTTGAATCTAGTTAACTCTAAAGTTTAGTTGTTGACTTGAGTTTCTTGTGTTTAGTTCAGGATATTTTGCTAACAGACAAACCAGCATGGCCTGTCACAGTAGCAGATCTTAACATGACAGGATGAGACTTTAGTTGTAATGTGTTGCTACTTCAGTACACCCCTGAAAAAAACAACACACTATTTAAAAGGTTTGTCATCAAAATCTGCAGAATTTTGCACCATTTTGTGTTAAATATTAAAATAATAAAAAGTAAGGTGGAGGGCCACGTCTGTGCTGAGGGCCGAACATCTGCGTTACCACCCTCTGCCGTCGTTCAGTGGTTTTATGTTGATCCTGAGCTGAAATGTTGTTTTATCTTGTCCTGAAACAAAGTGTTGGTCACAGATCTGTACAGCCATGAGGTGGAGGTGGTGATGGAGGAGCAGCAGATCACACAGGAAACAGGTAAAACCTCACCTTTAATAAAGAGTTCATGGATCCAAGTTGTTCAGAGACAAACAGAGACTTTGGTTGTGTTCAGTTGTGGAGGAAGCTCCGAGTCAGAGCCTGCCCTGGAGCTGTGATGATGATGATAAACAGTCTACAAACACCTCCAGACCGGACCAAGAAGGCCCAAAGCACTGCCAGACACCACCCAGGTATTAATTTACTGTTTGACTCATTTCAGCTTGTTGTGACTTTAAAAACAGTTTGAGTCAGAAACACAAAATAAATGAAAGGATGTTTTTCTGCCGCTCAGCATCCCTAAAACCAACGTCCTGAGAGAAATCATCACAGAGAAGCTGAGCACAGCCACCCAGGAGATCCTGGAGGTGGTGGGGAGGACCGTAGGTGATGGAGAGGAGGAGGAAGAGGAGGTTTCAGGCTACAGGCACAGGAGGCAGCTGGAGCTCCTGCAGCCTCAGGTCACACTCCACAGAGGAGGTGAGGGATCACAAACACACTCTTATTATCTTCATGTGAAGCTGAAATATTCATCAGTTTATTAAACAACACAAACATCTGCTCCCAGACCTGCACAAACACGAGGAGGTGATTGTTGGAGAGGAACCAGAGGAGCAGCAGCTCATACAGACAGGTAAACACACACACAGACAGGTAACACACAGACAGGTAACACACAGACAGGTAACACACAGACAGGTAAC